ACTCATAGAAGAAGGGTACTCTAGTTTCGTGCATGTCAGAATTGCCAAAATAATTTGGGAGATGTGTATGTAGGCTGGATGCTCGGCTCTCGTTGTGAAGTAGTGTCGTGAACTATGCTACAAACCCCTTACAGTGAAGGACGCTCGTGCATGCGGGGGAAACCTGATATTGTTATTTAATACTCGAGCTCGACCATATATGTCGATGACGTCACAAGAATGGGTACTCCAGCTATACGGAGGATAAACTAATCTTCCTAATATGTTGGACAAAGTTTATAGACAAAAGAGGTAATCATGTGCTAAGATTTGTAAGCTGTCATCAATGACCTTAGCGTAGGATTTCACTGAGATGTTTATATTTATCATGTTTTTCTTAGTTTTTTTATTAATTATAAGAAACATGACAACTTTTTTTCTATTCTATTTCGGCAGTTGAAACTCATGATGAATTTGGACCTTTGGTTCTGTTTTTTTTTTATTTGTGACTTTTTGTTAAACAAAAAGTACCAATAGTAATAAAGTATATTCTTTTACTGCGGTGGTAATAAAACACAATAAGTAGGATTTCTAAATGTAAAAGAGGTTACAATCATTTTTAAACGTCTCTATGTTAGTCATTCTTTGTTATAAAAATTCCGTTTTACTCACGCGATATATCTATTTTATAAATCGTATTAAACTACGATATTCTGATGAAATTAACGAGGTATAGCGGATATAACGTAGGACTTCCTTCTAAGAAACCAGTTGGATTTTCGCCAACTACCTACAATCTATAAATATTATTCTCTGTACGGAATTTATAAAGAACGTCGACTTTATTACAGCTGGCATGAATGACAATTGACTCATAAACGACATAATTGAGTATACATTTTGCTATTGTGAATAAACGATGTTACATGACATTTTCTTATTAAACAGCTGAAAAGTATGCAGCTATACATTTAAAAAAGACATCCTCTGGCTATATGTAATGTTCTGCGCTAATAATGGGTTTCAGATATTCTTTTTCTTCTTAATTATTAAAATAAGCAAACATTGTTAACAATTTCAACAAATTTTGAATAAATCTTTAAATTGGTAATTTCCGTCTTCTGACTTACAATATATCTATTTATTTCCTCGGCCGTAATAAATTCGAGGTGCCTTGGGAAATTTATAAAATGAGTTCAGTATTTAAATGTTCAGAATTTATTAGATTAATTTAGCTAAGGTTACCAGGCGGTCCAGACCATACGTGTTTCTGTAATAAATTTTATTTCTGACTGACCTTATGGTCTTATGTCATATTTTATATTTTTATATTTTTATTTTATTTGAATATTAGCCGCAATTTAAGAATTCTAAATATTTATTTTTATCACATAGATTCGGTTACACATGTCAACTTTTTAATTTTCCAATATCCAAAGTATACAAAAACACTACACTACGTTATGAAACACGGCAGTTTGTTATTAAATCACTAAAGAATAATTCCGTGATTTAATATTAGAGAAAATCAGTCCACCAAATTATATACCATAATAGAATTCATGAGGGGAATAAGTTGTGAGTAACCCTCATAAATTCGTCGTTGTCGGTTTTCGACGGACGCAAACCTTCTATTGGGACCAGATGTGAAGTGCCGTGGCACTGGAAATGACCGCTCATACACACACCACTGAAATCCTTTGGGAAATCTCAAAACGATTTGCGATCGCCGGCCGCGCCCCGTGTATTTTCGATTCAGATACTATTAAAAGCATGACATTTATTTTTTCATAAAGGCTTTTATGTGCACAAAATTGTTAAGCTCGCTTTTTTAAATATTTACGGTATTGATGAAAAAAGAAAAATTAACATAGAGGTATTCACATGATGGCAATTTTGTCGAGTGTACCTGATACTACACCACTACGTGGATATTACAATTTGTTAATTGCGTGATATCTCACATCTTCTATGTCTTTCACTTTACCAATGTGTTATAATACAGTGAAAAATAAAGATTTTTTTTTCTTAACATCAATCTCTCTCGGAAGTACCTACTTCAATTTTCCTTTTCATCAAACAATTATTCCACGCACATAAGATTTTGAATCTAGTAAAGTGGAGAAAACTAATACATAAAGTAGTAAAATTTTAATACCACGCGTAATTTTATATGAGTTTAGTTTCTCTGGCTTAAGAGTATTAATAACGAGGTCGAACAGCGCAGACTAAATATACGATTTTTGAATTGAATTATTAAAACTTACAAACTTTTCACGCTGTTTGAATCGAATGAATTGTGCATTGGAGTACGAACTAGCGATCCGTACCGTATCGATTTGAGTTCAACAAAAAATATATCATACTTCATACTAATATTATAAATGCGAAAGTTTAGATGGATGGATGGATGTTTGTTAGAGTTTATAGCCTAAACGGCTAAACGGATTTCGATAAAATTTGGTATCGATATAGAGGATAGTATGGTAGAACACATAGAGTACTCACTTGTTTTTTTAATACCACGCGGACAGAGTCGCAGGCATAAAACTTATCGATTCGAATAAAATGGTTTTCTATTTTATTATTTAACGTTACCTTTCACTTGATATTATTTAAACGCTATAATAATGGAATAGACAAAACAATAATAATTAAACCCACTTCTATTACAATTGAAGCACTCGACGCGATAATTGATTAGTTCTGAGGGTCGAGTAGAGGTTACATAGGATTGTCGAGACAGATTACTAACGCTAACTAAAACATAAAGATTACTGTTTACAATATTTAATTCAACTATGAAATTTGAGATACAGAAAACCAGTGGCTTTTTGCTAATGTGTAAAAAAACATACTTTGAATGAAACAAAATTTACTGTAACGCTGCTATGCTCGAAAACTTTTTTTTTAGAGGAAAACGAAGTTGAAACGCTGTAGGTATTTCATTGTGAAGTTAACTACGAATAACTCTGAGACTAGACTGTTATTGAATTACAGTGAGGCATATAGTTCTATAATAGCCGTGTTGCACAAAAATGTATCACTTTATCACGCCGCATTTAACTTTAGTAAGCGACACAGCTTTCTGATGCACAAAACACTATTCAGATTTCATTCAGCCCCGTCGTGCAAAGCGACATGACATCAGTTTACTTTCTACATATAACTGCTGGATATATTTTGCTCATTTTAAGGTAATAAATATGTTCTTTTGAACCATAATACTTTACTTTTTATTTTATTTTTTATAATCCTGTGCAAAAATTTTGTATATTGTTAAGGTTTCTACGCTCTAAAAAATGTAAATACGCAGACCTAAGCAACATCGGCTTTCTATCCTTGACAAGCAACGGCTCGCACGTTTTTCCTTTCCACTATGTGCACCCGTTGATAAAGAATTTCATTAACGTCACAACGGCTGTGTGAATGTGTCCCGAGGATTCGTTTCCGAGACATTTGCAAGCCAATGGACTTTGCTTCTTAATAGAATCTGATAGAAATCACTTTCACTCGTAGTATGGTGTATTATGATTTATTTGTGAACGTAATGTTCGTTAGCGCTAAATAGTAATCTTATTTTAATTCTGAATAAAAGGTAAAGAGTCAGACCAATTAAAGCAGCGTAAAACAATTTCGTTGAAAATTTATCGTTGATAAAACTCTGTGCGCCCTTGGGTTACTTGGAAAGTTGCCTGTGGCATCGTTAAGCCTCTTTACCCCGCTGATTAGTTTGTACAGAAGTCCTTTTAAGACCTTAAATTTTTAAAAACTTTAAAATTTGCCTTTAAAATTTATTTTGCAGAAATTACTGGTGAATTTTTAAGCGGATATAGAATGTTCAGTTTGTTTTATCAAATTAATATTGCATTGCATTTTTTAACTTCATGAAATATTTGATGAAAAAAAATATTGATATCTGCAAACTTTCACAATATATTTGATACCCTTGTAATGAAAGTTCTACTTATTGCATATTGGTACTTACAATAGTGCAACTATACCAGTATTATGTTATTTGTTATGATCTTTATTTCCTAAAATACTAAAATATATTTGCGTGTTTTAATTCGTTTGCTTTGTTTCTGTAACTTGTTTCTATTTAGATATCACATTGTACAAACGTGTACAATTGCTTTGCTATTGTGTGCAAACTTTATTCGTGGCGACCGCAACAAGCTTTATGTCCTGGACACATGGTCTGAATCACTGCAATACAATCACAAAGTATCTGGATATTTTCTAATAAAGCTGTCGGACATTCCGCGCAGTCGAGCGCTAATTTATCATTGTTAAACTTTGCCTCAAACCGAAGCAATTTCCGTTCGGATTCTTTTTTAGATTGCTCCTCGAATGGATTTAGATTTGAACTGTTAAATTTCCTATAAAGATTACATTTTACAAATGTTTTCTATTTTCAAATCAAAATTACTTTCAGATTACTATACATCTCTTAAGTTTACAAACACATGTAAAGTCATATCCAAATTAAACTTTCTTTTCAATAATTTAGACAATAATGAAACTATCATATTAACGTCAATGCACTTATATGGCAACTATTTGTGTTCGTAGAAATGAATTGTAATACATTTACGACACAATAGTTGTTCGCGGTATTTTCATTAAACATTTATTTCGGAACATTTCAATTCAATTGTCGTAACCGAGGCCCCTAACTGCGTAATTACCGATGTGATTCGAAATGTTTTAAATCTAGCCGCAACATTGTCGACACCTCGATTTAACATTCATAAAATAAAGTAATTGTTCAAATTGTAACTAGTGAGTTTAATAATTTTATCTGTACATCCATTCAATTAATAGCTATAGAAGTAATTGTCTATAAGAAATCTAAAAAAAATATGTTAGTGAAAACCTAAAAGTCAGTGGACATGCAAATATTTCTACGATGTAGTAATTTAACATGACTTGAAAACTATTGATGTGTAAATTAAATAGTCGAAGTAGAGGGAAATGGCGTAAATGATCGAATAATTAAGATTTCTTTTTTGTTTCAGTGACGAAATTTATCCGTATTGGCATCGCTGACAAGAATGATAACCCTCCATACTTCGACAAGGAGCTGTACGAAGCAGAAGTGGACGAAAATGAAGACATTCAACACACTGTGCTTACGGTCACCGCCAAAGATCACGATGAATGTGAGTAGTAGTTTTGTTTTTTTAATTCACAGGTAGTAAGTTTTCGGAAATCCACTCCACAGTTCCAGTCAACATTTTATAAATAATTACTAGTCGAGAGAAGCTTTCAGTCGCATTAAACTAATTTTGAGAATCGATCATACGATATGATAATTTAAAAAAACAATAGAATGTAAGTAACAGTATCAATCTGTCGATATGCGAAGAATTTGTCTGATTAGTTATGGGTTAAATTTCACGTACTCCGTTTGTGTAACATTTGAATTAACTCCGGTTTTATCGAAGTGGGGCAACCCAGATCCAATGTTTATCATTCGAAGTGAAACTGGAGATTTGATGTTTAAATAAGATCAATGCTAGCACAAAATTTACCTACTGGCAAAACTTATCGATCGCAGTTTACAAATCATATCCGATATCGCTTCTAAAGTGTACTGAAACTCCCAGACTCGTTTACCGAAGTGTCATAAAGCTCTACTAAACTGGAGTAAACAGTCGATAAATTGTAAAACTATCGCCTGGAGGATTCTGATATCTAACACTTCTCGAGAATGAGAAATTGATAAAAAGTAGCTGACGTAAATGTACAGTTTTAGTTTCATTTCTTTAATGTTTTAATGCATTTTTTTAATATGCACAAATGTCTGTTTAAGTACAAAACGCACCTTTCAATCTTAATCTTTTATAGTATCGTATTTGTTGATTACAATAAATTATTTATTAGGAAACAATACTTTAATAGCCTTTCGTTTTAATTGAAGACATAAACTTTACGATGTACATTTAATGAAATTGACGATGAACTGAATGATTGCATCACGTCGTAAACTGAAGCTATAAAACCGAGTCGCAGTATAGTGAACAAATCCGATTTAATCAGTGCTATGACAGACGGGAATTAGTGTCCTCGAAAATCCGTACTTTGATAAAGATTAAATCTATTTTATACTCGTAGACCAGTGCTACCCGTATCCATTTTCTTTGTCTAGCGTTACCTGTTTCAATTTTCTTAATAATTAAAAATCTCGATCTACCATTTACGGTCATTTGTTACTTTTATTTATTCATTTAAATTTTATTCGGTTGTGATCTGAGCATACTTTTTAAAAAGCTCTTTTGTATGTTCGAATATCCAATCACTTGACGTTAAACTAAATCACTGAAGTAATTATACTCACAGCTGCTGCCTTTTCATAGCTTCTTAATTAACAAGTTTTATAACATTTTACTCGAATATTACTTTGTGTGTATTCATGGAACCTCAAAATACCGCTTCATGTTGACAAGTTCAACCTCGCCGCAATGAATAACTATGAAATTCATTTTATATTTATTAGGTCATGTTTACGTGAGATTTTAACGCTAACCATTTCACATGCAGTCTTTATATTGAAATATTTTAATAAATATGCAATATAACGATTTATGAAAATTATTTCCACATTATCTTCGACCTTTTTTATAAATCCATGAATTTATTTGTATTTCAAAAATGTTATGTTAATATTTCTTAAAGACATCCGATATACTTTTGTAATTCTTTGTTCCCTCATTCTTCCATTCCTTTCCATTTCAATGTGGAATTGATTAAAAAGGTTTCTCAATAACAACCATTTCTCCGATACAAACACTTGTAACGTTATAATGGCTCTCCTTTTAAAAGCAGGATATTAAATGTGCTTACAAATACATATTTCTTTAAAGTATTTTTTAAATGGACTTAATTAGAAAATACCCTATAGTACTCGTATTTATTTTTGTTTACTTTGATTACGTTACTTTTGTTTGATACAGTTTTCTAACGTGATAAGTGAACTCACAATAACCATCTTATTAACACCAACGAATTTGTTCGTATATAATATTTTTGTTACCAGTTTTGAAATCAATCCCAACTCTGTGAACGAGCCCCTTAAAAACAGACATGCCACTCACACCAATATCTTATGATATGTATAATAAATGTGAAATTGTAGCAAATTCATTATTGATATTATGGACTATTAAAATTATATTAAAGATGATAGTAAACTCAACTATTAAAACACCCAAACTATAAATTAAATTATTGTATGCACGTATGACATAGTTAAATAGGCTACAGTTACACATGTTCCATTTCACCAAAGTGTCACGCCATTCTGAGAGCCAGTTTGGCGCATGTATCCAGCACGAAACTTTCTCACGGGAAACAGCTCCGTTACGTAACGTATACGTACACAGCGGTACGTCGTATCGTGCTCGGCGTTTGATCGATGAGTTCGCACAGTTGCCACGATACATTATATCTTGAAATTTCTCCCTAACACAGCGCCCCTCGAACCCCACTTTTATTAAACTTCAACCTCTCCTATGTCATCGTAAAGGCCTCCGAGACACAATTTTCTTTATAGTAATTGTTTTCAACTTAAATTATATCTAACAACTTCCACTGTTTGAAGATTATAAGATAATCGAATTCTAATTTACGTCAAACAAAAATTACGTTTATTTTTAAATGTTACGTTACAGGTTTCATTTATTTTACGTAACTACAGAAAGGGAACAAATGAATCGATTTGTTCACATGTTGTTAATCGGTTCGAATGCGAACAGCAATCGGAAACAATTGCTCACTCGCGATGTAATTCGAATGAACACGACGCATGTTCACAATAGAATACAACCGAGTTTGTTTTGGGTTCTTTTAAAATATAAGGAAAGCACTCGTATTTTAACTGTCTTGGGCTAACAAGATTAACACGAAAAAACAACTAAAGATTAAAAGGTTGACGCAGAATCTAATATTGTTTTGTAACAAGAATGCTTATTCTTGAGTACGAGTTGCTGAGTGGTGGTACCGTATAAATTCATAAAACAATTCTTAACTATGAGTTAATGGTTCTCAACAAACACAATTTAAGAGTTGAAAAGTTTCAACGAATAAATTTTGCAGCTCACTAAGTGAAAAGAGCAAAAATACCTGTGGCTGCGTCTTCTCAAAGCACGAAAGTCATAATTTATGATAAAGCAATCAAGTGCTCGCTTCAGAGGAGCTAAATTTTATTCATCTGTACAAATTTGAGTTTCTAGAAATGTTCAAGGACTCTCCAGCGACGGCGCCCGCCAAATGATTTCCTCCCAGTTCTATTATTTTCGGCTACTTTGACCGGTATCTTCAAATATTTCTTTATCATTGTTAGCACACTTGTCACATCTCATTCAAAGTTTCCTTCGACTTATATAAACATTTCTTATTATAACGGAAATGTTTTCAACGATTCTAAACGACTGTGTTTAAGATGACAAAATAAACGACATTGTTCATGTTACACTCAGATAATAATTCTTAGCATAATTAAATAGAGGTATTTTTTGAGGATTTGACCAAGCATTAGAAAACAAGTGACTTATTAACTTTGATTCAGAGAATGGAAAGAAACGTAAGAACAATTCGCAGTAAAATACTTGTAAAGCATCATTATATTGCCTTAAAATGAGAATATGAAAGATCTTGTATATTTTGAGAAAATATGCGGAACTAAGCTGTAGGCAGTTTCCCGTGGGACACAAACGACGGGCGTGTGTAAAAAATATTAGAAACGACTTCGGAACTGACAGCCTCTTGCTTACAATTCTAGAAGACAAGATAAATCAATCTAATAGAAGATGTACAATATTTTCTCGTGTAACATTAAAACAAACCCATAGTTATATCGATAAAAATGAAGCTGGCACTTGCGTATGTCCTGATTTAATCAATACCAGAAGTAACCAATTTGTTTGACTTTACAAAAGATTCATTAAAAAAATGTTTTAAAAGATTTTTTTGTTGCAAAAAATATACAAATAGTACTAAATCGATAGTAAAATTAAAAAATAATAAATAGAAGTTAGATGAATGACAAAACTTGCACGTATTTTTAATTAAATAAAGTTTCAAAACAAGAATTCATTAAATCTTACGTTCTGAGAAGTCCCACAAACGATATTTGCGCTCGTACCCGAGCAATGAAATATTAAATTCAGTGCTCTCAATGAAATTAAATTTTCTCATTATTATTAGTTCCGTAGATAAATACGTTACTCTGTGGAGTCTCGCTTGTATTTCCTTTGATCTATTGTTACATACAAGACGTTCGACATTGATTTTACATGAGAAATTACTTTGAATTTCATATTAAATTTGAAATATAAAGTAATTTCTCTTTAAATTTGAAGATCAAATTCATAAATTTACAATCTGCTGCATATTTTATTTCTTTCTTTCGAATCTGTCAATAGAAATCTTAAGCGAAAATAAACATTTTAATTTCGATGTCATTATATTGTCTCTCGCATTATCACTGAATAAACTTGAATGTTTGAGAAGTGGAAGCCCACGGCATGGGAATATGTTTCTGATCGGAATCCAATAGTTCCGTGTGTAAAGTCTCCTGCTGGAACGCTAATTAATCACAGCAACAATTTAAGCGCTTATCTCCGCGAACTTGTCTAACTACCAAATTGTTCTTGTCAAGTTTGGTTTGTGCAGATAGTCGCCGTTTAACCGCGCTGTTATACGGCCTAAGAGTAAATTCTCAGCTCGAAATTTGTGTACTTTCCTAGTTATTTAGTCACTTCCTACCGCAACTGAAAATTGTTAGATAAACTCGACCGAAGTGTGAAACTTGTCTGAATTTAATCCAACTCTGTGTCAAGTTTAGATTTAATTGGATGATTATTAGTGTCACCTTAATTTAGCCGTGGATCTAGAAAGGCTAATAGGCTATCTAACTGTGTCTAAATGTCTGCCTTCTCACGATATATCTCTAGCATCTTTACTTAATATTATTCATGTTTTTCAAAGCGTAGATCGTTAAGCAAAAAAACATTTAATACAATTGCCTTTGACATATTTGATAAATTGTCGTGAAAAGATTATTGTGAAATCTATTCAAACGAACATTCTAAGCCAATTATAAGACTATTTGCGATCATTACGACACTCGACCTTAAGCATAAAATAAAATTGCCACTTA